GTGATTGGAACGCTGTTGTAGGAGAAGAAAGCCTAGGGGACATAATAATTAAATAATATTCATAATATTTGGTTGAGAAACATTGCTATAGCGGACAACCGCCTGTTCGTTTGGCCTTTGGAATAACCCAATCTAAATATTATATTTTTTTCATACTATTCTGAATTTAAATTTTGAAAAATAATCTTAATAATAATAACACTACAGGTATTTAGTTGTATTATTATGGTTTATGTTTTCAATTTTTTTTGAGTTTGGGTAGGTGCGCGTGTATACGAGCCGCCATTGATCCTTTCATAAACATGAATTAGCCGATAAAATCATTTTTTAAGATTCCATAATCTGAAAATTATAATATTGGAAATAATTTGAATAAAATTAAAAATGTTTAACAATTTTGTAATTCTAGGGCCACTTGGAAAGGCTACGTGAAGTTGGCCCACCCTTTTATTTTTTAATTACAATTTGCAAACGGCTTACTCACAAATTCTCGCAAATAAAGACGCATCGTTTGGTATCAGTTTTGAAATTCTAGGGCGACTTGGAGAGGCTACGTGAAGTTAGCTCAACCTTCTGTTTTTTAAATATAATTCGTAAACGGCTAACTCGCAAATTTTGAAAACGAATCCGCAAATTCTCGCAAATAACTCGCAAAATATTGGTATAGGTTTCAAGTTAATCCGTGAAAAAGGGTGGGCCAACTTCACGTACGTCAAATCTACCAAATACAATCTGTTGGCACCGATAATGGGTCGGACTCATAGGTCGTCTGATTAGGCTAACAGCACAGCAATAAATAATAATTATTAATCGGCCACACACACACGCACACGCTTTACATACTATATATATTATATCACACTAGATATAAATCTATGTTAATTGTTATCGTAAATTATAATAAAATAATTTAAATTTGTCGTGTGTTTTCCTATATTGTTCCCGTCTTGTCTGTCTTCTTTCTACCGCCGTATTGAATATGCGTTCGAGAAATTATTTCGCAAGTTTTTTATTATTATTGTTAAGCACGAATCACCGCAACTTCATAAATTATAATTTGTGTGCACGAATTGCCACAAGTGTATACTACGTGCTATACGTGCTGTATTTTACGAATCTCCGTATTATTATTATATTTGTTAGCGTACGCTAATCGTCGCTAATCGTATTAATATTAGGTTCTTATTATTAATTATATTTATTTTACGTGCGCTTATCGCCGTGAGTTTTTATATTATAATTATTTATACGTGTGTGTGTCGCCGTCATATTTATTGTTTTAATTTATTTTATATTGTGTGTTAAATTATATTATTGTGTGTGAACGAATTTTAATTATCATTTAGATTAAGGTACAGGTTGCAGTTGACCATCAGTCCTCCGACTAATTTGTTAGTTTTATTTATATTATCTGTTTATTTAGTATTTTTATCGGTGTGCCAAGGCAATTTAATTATTATATTTATACTTACATTTTTTAGTGTTGGGCCAGAGGGGCCGTAATTAATTTAAATTTTAAACTTCCGTGTTGTTGTGAATCTTTTACCTTATTATTATTGTTATTATTTTTGAATATTATTTAGTACACAGCAACAGTAGTTACCACATTGTTTACCATTTATTTATAAAGGTGCGTACTCACGAGCGAACATTGTGCGACGTTCGAAGTGAGCTCACTCGAACGCGAACGAGCACGTATGAGCATTCGGACGAATTCAATTTGTTCGTGTGGACATATATTGTATGTGCGACGCACAAAATATACTATGCGTAGCTGTTCGGGCCCATTCCAGAGTCGAGTACAGTAGTTGTTAACATACTTTAGTATCGAAACGTAGTGTTTTGGTTTAAATACAAAAAAAGTGTTACAAAAACAATTTTTCAAGTATAACAATTTTTTAATTATTATTTTATTGGTGAATAATGAGTAATCATTTACAAGTTGCAAGTGCAGCATTTATTGTAATGCATGAACTTATGAAAATCAAAGAAAAAAAAGTTCGACGTAAAAGACGTTTTTGGAGATCAAAACTTTACATCGATAATGAAAATAGAGGAGCTAATTTGTTAAATAGTATGCAGTCTGATGTACACAGTTTCCATTTTCAAAATTTTACAAGAATGTCATAGTCGGCATTGGATCATCTCTATCAGCTAAAAAACAATGCATGGCGTCGAAACCAAATCATTTTGAGTGATATATGTCGTTGGCACCTTTTAAAAATAATATTATAAGTAGGTAGGTACTTAATTTCTAAATTTTCATTCTAATTATTATTAATTATTTATTTTTAATATTTACCTTTTCCAGTTCCATAACTTTTTTTTACTTTTGCTTTTTTTCTACAATATGATCCCTGTAAGCTTAATATTTTTTTTTTAATTTCCTCAACCGGTCTTTTCATTTCTTTTGCCAAATGACACCAAGCATCATGTTTGGCATTTTTTGAAAAATATGATGGATTTTTCGAGTCCCACAACACTTCTTGCAATCTAAATGCTTCAATTAAATTCAAGCAATCTTTGCTATCCCAATCCATTTTCAAATAGATAATAAAAAAGTGTAAGTTAAGTACTTATTTATTTATTATTTTATAACGCATGTTTGAATTAACTAATATACCGTCCAAACGGTGACACGAATGCTCGCGGTGTTCCTTTGAACATAACTTAAAAACCGACAGTGATCGGCTCGTCGTGCGATTCTATTCGACCTATTCAGCGAACGTTCCTGAACGCTCGCGAATGCTCACGAACGTCGTCTACACGGTCGCATGGTGGGTCGCACACAAACGTTCGTGAGCATTCGTTATTTTTGTTCGCTCGTGTGTACGCGCTTTTATAGTTACCCATTTTCTTTAGTTTAAGCCTACACACTTACATATTACACACATACACACCCATAGCACCACATAGTCGGACAGTATTTTCGCGACGATCCCAACCATCACTGTCCGATCTATTTACACATTACACTTTTACACATCGTGTGGCCGACGAAGTCGGTAGTTAGTTTAATCAGGTGGTGTGCACGAAGTAGTTGGAAACCGGGTTGCGCGTAGCAATATTTTACGCATCTGGTCCAAACACAATCATTGTATTCAATGTGACCTTAGCATTAATAAGAAAGTCATACATACGTATTTATAATTATTTTAAGCAGTTTAAATTGGAAACTGATCATTGTAACCGTTCTTACAGGTTAGCAGATTTTAACAATGTAATAACAAATAACGGTTTAATCAGCAGTTACATCTTTATTATTGTTGGTGTTCATATCCATTCAAAAAGTAAATATTACAACAGAATAGACCAAACTACGTATACGGTCTCACACTACGACTTCTTCGGTGTAGTTATTTCGGACAAACCTGCGTTTTTGTAATTTTTTCTTATTCATTTAAAATTGTATCTTAATTAATAAAGTTATTAACATTTACACATCATTTAAACATATCTTGTTTAAGAATATTACGTGTAGGACGTATGTATTATTGAATATTTGAAACATTAAAACTTTGAAATGTACATAATAATATGTGCTTGTTGTGCACCGTCAAGGAATTGCGTCTCTTTATCATTATGAAGAGTATTATTTTTGATTTTTGTTGGTCGGTGGGTCGGTGTGTGTATTAACTGAAAATAGATTCGGATCAAGAATTGGTGGCCTGCATACCCCAGGACCATCCCACCATTTGTTGATGTCTTCGTAGTGCTTGGGCAAACGTTTTTCGTCATGGAGCATGGCGCACAGCCGACAGTAATATTTACTTCCGATCGTCACCGTGCCCGTGCCCTTCCACTGGAAGTACTCGTTGTACAGCTCGTCGTCTTCGTCGAGTTTATTCAGGTACTCGGCCAGCAGCTTCGGCGATTCGAAGTCGTCCACGTGTATGAACGAGTTCTTCGGCGCCACCAACTCGTAATCGCTGCGACTCGGTCCCATAACGATCGGCAACACGTCATGACTATAGGTGAACGACACAGAAAACACGATTACGATATTACTCAACAAATGATGCACAAGTCGATTAGCATATGCCATTATTAAAAAAAAAAAAAAAAAAAATCGTGGATAATTAGCCGAAATACTTTTTTATAAGAATCTAAGCTTTGAATAACTGCAGTAAAATATTTATTTTCCCATGTGTAAGAAATTCTTAGGGAATATATTTTATCAAAATCCTTATTTTCAGGAGCTTTATAGATATGTAAGCGATTTGTTTACTACCGTTATTCTTAAGAATTATCATTATAAATGTAAAAGGTAGAAATTGTGCACCGTAACGATAATAGTTACCTAAGCGCGTTCAGGAACAATTTCTCAGTTATATAATGACGACAGTGCGCATTCTCGAAAGCCAAATAAAATTTATAATCCGTGTCCAACAATTTCAAGCAACTGTTATCATTGTCTCGAGGACACTTGAGAACTCCGCAGTTACCATATATGTCGACCGAAATGTAATTCGCTAGTTCGTTGGCGTAAATCGTACGATTGCTATTCGGATAACAATTCGAAACGAACCACGCGACTTTCTTGGACTTTCCATCCGCATAATTTCTTTCTATCCGTGGTAGGGGAGGTTTGTATTCAAAAAAGTACCCATACGGATTCGGTATATCACTGTCCCATCGATAATTCGATGTCCAATTGAATACGTTACTATCTGTCATAAATGATGTCGAATAAGGAGCTTCGGTATGATGCATAATCCATATCTAAAGCAAATGTTGCACTCGAATTATTATTTTTACGATATGTGGTACATACGAGTACATTTAAAAATGACTACAGAAACCACTACCTACATTCATTATATATTAAATATCAACAGTTACATTTGTCTTGTCTATACCCATTATAACCTAGTGGAATATATATCATAACAATTTGGAATACCAATAAAAATCATAACTCTTACCAAATAATACCAAGTACTAAATGCAAAACGAGCATCAAAATGCTATCAGGAATTTGACGAACATTTGTGGAAAAATATTCATATTCTGATTATGCATATGGATTAATAAGCTCCGATAAACGATTTTGGTGTCTAAATATCGTAATTGACTCACTTGATTTGGTGGCCTATTGAATGTCGGACGGGTGTAATGGTGCCTAAATATTACAGCGTCGACTTCTGGACCGTAAGATAAGTTGACCGTTAGCCAGCATTGACTGACCGGGCAACCGATGAATTCTCCTTGGTCGAGTAAAGGAATTTCCCAAACATCACCGATGCCGGTGTGAATCAAAATCCGTTTGATTCGTGACATTTCGTACTTGTAACCAGCCGGTACGTAATACAATTGCTCTTTGATTCTGTCACCATTGGGTAACTCATCTGGCCACACCAATCTGGAATTTGTGAATTTGTTGTATGTACCTGTGCGATACATGAAAATAATATCTTTGAAAACAACGAATAAAACTTAATGTTTTCGAAGAGAATATTTTACTTGTTTTTTCACTGGACGGTGCACAAGTCTTAAAATAAAATAGAACGATCAATATTATTATTGTGGATAAATTATATTATTATAATATATATATATATACAATCTTAATTGTATTAAATTGTAAGACAACATTTTGGTATGTCATAGTTGGGAGAGCGGATCTTTAGGTTTTTACATATTTTTATTGGCTTTATGCAGATTTACGATGATGAAAAATGTGAACGATTTATCCATCATAGAGTTCGTAGGAAAACATCATTATTTTATTTTATTTTTCATAATTTAGCATATTTTGTACATTAGAGCAGCGTTCTCAACCAGGGGGTCGCGTAGTTCAAAAACAATAAAATGCTGATTTACAAAATGTAAATTCAAATTAAATTTTTACCTAATATAGATGGAGAAGGGGTCGCGAAGTGATTGACCATATTTTATACCTATTTTAGAGGTCGCGACACTAAAAAGGTTGAGAAACGATGCATTAGAGAATATTTAGCCTATTTTTCATATTTTTGAATACATTCAATTATTGTTCATAAAAAAGCACATTTTATTAATTTCAGAATTGTGATTTTTTTAGGAAAAAAAAATTGATTGTTTTATTTGTACTCCTATGTATGGAACTTTTATCCATTTTTTCTATTTAAATAATTTATCTATTACCAAGGAATGGTGGATATAAGTTGTTCGTTGTTTTTATTTAATTATTTTTTTTTTTTTTTTTATACATAATTTTATAATATTTATTCTCCTATGTATGAACTGTTATACATTTTTACATTTAAATAATTAATCTATTACCAAAGGAATGGTCCACAACAATAATTTTATGTTTTTATTTAACTATTTAAGAAAAAAAAAAATCTTATAATATATATTATCTGCATATTTACCAGTTCAAGGAATATTGAGAGATTATTTTAGAATTTTATAGCATATAAGCATCATGTTAAGCTTTTAAGAACCTAAAAATTCGCTCTTTAGTCAAAATGTTATATTTAGCGGTGCATGATTCGTTCTAACGGTCGGAACTTTTCTTTCGCAATTTTACGATACTTTCCGAGAAAATCGGTCTAGTAAAGGTCTAAAATTATTATTAAAATAACTAGAAAAATTTTGACGTAATAATACTGAATTATTGTTTTTTTTCTAATACTCAAAACGTTGCAGAATTTGTTCAATTACGTTCGATTTTCAAAAAATAATAAAAATTAAATAGGAATCAGAGAATAATTAAATATCACACAGAAATATTTACAGATAAAGTTTTTTGCACACTAACCCGGTACTAGGATATAATGTACCGGATGGTAGGTTTTTCGGTATAACAATCACGTACTGCTACGGAGCAATATTCATATGTACTATAATTAAAATACTATATTTTATACATCATAGTACTATAATAACACATACCAATATAGGACTCAGATATTAAAATAACAGTACATTACAATATATTAAATACAGTAAAATATTAATATTAATACAGTATATATTATAAATTATTAAACAGTATAATGATACTAAGCACTAATATATTATACTTATGATATAATTAATAATTTATTATAAATAAATATATATTAGATATATGTTAATAATAATTGTTAATTGACTGTAACAGGTCATTTTGATATTGTATGTAGGTAGATTTGGGTGACCATACGGGGTTGTCCCTTTTTTGATCATTATGTCCCGTTGTCCCGGGAAACTTCGAACGGGACGCTTTTATCCTGTTTTCTGAAGATTGTCCCGTTTCAATCCCGTTATTTTCATATAATTAAATTATAATTTATAAATTTTTGTAAAAGAATAAAATTAATTTATGAATCAAATATAAAACAGTTTATATTTAAAACATGAAACCAAAGTTATAAATAACAGACTAAAATTTCTGTGGAACGAACGTCGAGTGCCGACGAGCAATACATATAATAAGTAGATATAGTAATAAGGTAAGTGTACACTATACGCCGTATAGCATAATAATTGTACCATACTACCATAGTAGCATTGATTATAGAATATTCTATTCTATAATCAATGATAGTAGTAATAAATAAGCCATTAGGTATTAATTCTATGAATCTATCGCGGACGGTGGCATGCGATAACGATAACCGATAGTTTATGAGAATCACTCTATGTCGTATAGCATATGCATTACTAACTAAAATATATAATACTATTTATAATCGATGATTATAATCAAAAAGTTGAACAACAAAATATGTCGAATAATAACGTACGAACAGTAAAGCGATTGTGTTTATTATAGCTACTACGTATAGTCTTTTTTCTTTAAATTTTGTGAGGTGGTGCATTATAATTTTTAATAATGCCAAAGAAGAGATGTACGTTCACTGTATCTTTACAGTCTAAATTTAGTTTCCTAAAAAATTGTGAAGAAATTGGAAAAGTGTTTTGTACGGTGTGCAAGGCAGTATTTTCAATCGAACATAGAGGACGCTCAGATATCAAACAGTATATAGAAAAGAAAAAACATACATCGGCCTTATCTAGTGTTTCAAAAAGTGACAAGGTAACTTCATATTTTATTAAACAAGGACCAGCTGGCTTAACTATAGAGGTGGGAATTTTCGGTCGTTTGAATGAATCGAATCATTTGAATCGGATCAGTCTAGTGATTCGGTCATATCAGTCATTTCGGTCTTGCATCATATATCGTTCTTATCATTAGGTGAATCAATTTTCTTATGAAATATGAATCAGTTAATCAGTGACAGAGATTATTATTATGATAATGTTGTAAATTGTACTGTTTGTAGTAAAACGCCGTGGTTGTTATTATAAGCCATGATAATTATCACGGTCTTGGATTATTAATTATTATTGTATATATTTAATATTATACTAATATACTGCCTATGATTACTATTATAGACTTGTGTTTTCGTTAATACCTTACAAAACCTTAGTTGGTATCGTGAAAGTAGATAACACCATTCACCACAGATTATAATATATTATCTTTTAATCACGAGATGTAATTATGATTAACATGTAAATCAGTACAACACTATAGTCAACTATAGGGACTATCAATAATCGATACTGTCTATTATTAGATAATTATTGTTTTCCCCGAGAATAGACTAAAGACTCCATGATATAGTAGAATTATTATTATTATCATATTTTATACTTATTATGCATGGGTTGTACTATCTATTACCAAAAAATAAAACAAAATAATTCAACATTTTATATTTTTATAATTGGTACAAGAAAATTATAAATTATATATAATATTATACGAATATTTATTACGTTTGTTACTGTGCATGAAACTTTAGTTAAAAGAAAAGAGTAATAGAATTATTTACTAGTTACATCTTTGATTAACCGTCTTAATAATAACGAACAAGTTATACGGTAATGACTAATAACTTAGAGCGCACTGTACGCACGTGCGTACCGAACGACGGCTATCGCGGAACTGAATCATGTAGTTATTGTTATAAATGAAAATTTTAAATAGTAAAAATATATCGATAAATAATTTTTGGAAGATTGTTGAATATTCTCTAGCAATGCCTGGAACAAATGTTGCAATTGAAAGAGTATTTTCCATTACTAATGTGTTATGGACGGACGAAAAAAATAACTTTCTCGTTCCTACCATCAAATCAATTATAATTTGAAAATCATTTCAAAAAATATTCGTGTAATGATTTTTATGATTTTTTGTTAAAACAACTAAAATTATTAAACGCAATCAGTTCATCGCAAAAGTACAGTAACGGCACTGCAATAGATAATAAAACATGATGAGCAAACGACATCAACCCAATAAGAGTAAACAAGTTTTTTTTATCAAAATATTAAACAAGGTAGTTAAAAAATATTTTAATTGTAACTATAAAATATAAAAAATATTTTAAAAAAATGTGTATGTTTATGTGTGTTTAAACCAAAAATTTCTTGTCCCGTTTTTTTTTTTTTTTGTAAAACTGGTCACCCTAACGTAGATGTTTTAAATTAATTAGTATAATGCAATACTGTTGAAAAATATAGTATTAGTTACATTAAATATTAGGATTCACTATATATATATGTATAGCAGTGGCCAAACTACGGGGATGCTAAGGGGCCCTACTGAATTTAAAGCACTCTCATGTTCCATGTAATTTTAAATTAAAAATATTTATTTTTAATAGCACTGTTCTAAATGAAATTATATTCCAGGCAAACATTTTAATTTTATACCTTAAATTTTATTTAAATTAATGTTTGATAGTTTATAATAAATTATTTATACATTTAAGGAAGCTTCATTACTAATTTATTGAATTACATCATCGTCTCATATTAGGAACGCCCGCTAAGTAACAATAATATATAATATTAGCTCTTACAACTATAAATATTTCAAATATACTTTACTTTTCTTTCACTGACTTTTTCCGACTTGAACACATATACGTAAATTGATACTAATAAAATTATTAATACTATGGTAATTATGAACTTTTGAGAACAATTACGCATACAAGGATACTTGATCTTGAACATTTTTTACAAATCAATTTTTGTCTAATCGATCAAATACTATCACTCGAATGTAATTAATTGAACCCATCTAGATAGACATTTGTTAAATAAAAACTAAAAAAATTAAATAATGTAAAATAACATGTAACACACTTATGATCTTCATAATACATACACGTGTGAGTACATTAATAATTTAACGAGTACTGTATAATTTATGAATGTTGGCATCCATACCAACATCTGGCATCCATACCAACATCAAACTCTGTTAGCCAATGTAACTTTTTCTGATACAAAACACCTGCGTTTTGCTGACAGCGAGTTTTAAAATGTATGTTTTAGCTTTTGTTTCCATAATGATATAGGCAGTGGCGGCTCGTGCTATAGGGCACACGGGCACGTGCCCCACCTAAAAAATTGAGAAGAAAGAAGAAAAATGTATATTCAATTATTAAAATTAATATTGAATAAGTATTTCTTCCATCATGATATAAGTTGGTACTTGGTAGTTTGAATATTATCGAAAACAATGTTTTATCAAATACGGGTGCTCCTAGATACGGTACGTGTATACTATATATACGCATTGGGCGGCGGGCACAACTTTGTTGTGCCCGGATAATCCGATCAACAGTACTAGATTTCCCCCACTTTTCGACATGAATTAATACGGCATTGCCGGGCACAATCCGATTGTGCCCGAATTCTATTTTTATTACGATTTATAATATTTTGTCGGTTCTATTGCCTTCGTATTGTTATTGTCGACCGTCGCCGGTTTTGAAAACATGATAAAATAACAATTAATTATTATCTGTTCATTCTAATAATTCTGTTAAGTGTGTTTGTTTATTTTATTAAACGTTTAGTACTTTTGTACTGTCATTTATCGCCTTATCGGTGCATTTTTCTATAATATTATAAAATAAGTATTTTTACTATTTAGTGTATGGTGCATAGTGTTACGTCCAAATTTTCCAATTGTGTTTCAATTTTCACAGATGATATGAAGAATTCATCGATAATACCGATGATGAATCGAAAGATGGCTTTCCAGCAATAGCCGGTGAATGTTCTCCTGAGAGATAAATCACCCGACTGCGAAGGAAAATCTATACGGTGCTATACATTTCAATAACGTCGAAAAATGTTCAATATTTTTATTTTCTCTTCTGCGCTCGTTCGATATGATTAATATTTTTCCAAAAGTCGATATACAAACTGTGGCAAGAAAAAATTTAACATTATATAATCTATCACAAAACCGATAAGATAGGTACATTATAATTACAAACTGATTGATTTTATATACCTACGATATTATTTACTATATAGTATATGGTATGTATTTATATGTACTCATGTACGTATATCGTTTAACTAATTATGTTATGATGCGTCTCGCGTACAAAATAGTAATGTAAATCCAAATGTATCTTTAAGTTTTAACAAAACATACTAAATATCGGTTCCTTTACTTTTGATAATACTTGTTAGTACTTAATTACAAGTATAAGATGTCATTAGAAATAGTAAAAAGTTTATTATTTAATTCAACGGAATTTACAACAATGTTTTGCTAGGATGGCAAAAAATGAATAGCGTCAAACAATTTTATATTCAAATTTAAATATGAATCAAAAGTCCGTTTCGCCAGCACTGCAACTTTAGAATCTTAATATCACACCTTGATGGTATTTTTTACTTTTGTTGCACAATTTTGTACAACCAAAATACAATTTTTACAACTCCCTTACACAAGAAAACGTTTTTATCATGGGGAAACGCAAAAAATTCATTTAAATCGGTCCGGCCGTTCTCAAGTTTTAGCGAGACTAACGAACAGCAATTCATTTTTATATATATAAATTATAACCCGGGCTAACGGGGGGAACGGATGCCCCTACCACCTCCCATAGGATATACAACGGGCAAATTTAATTGTAACTATAGAATGCTATTAAAATGGATAAGTAGTTGGGGTGGGTGGTGGGTATCATGTATACATTTTTGTTCCTCACCGAAAATGAGTTTAACCACTGGCTTCGGATATTGATTGTAAGTGATTGCAAACATAATCGTGTACGTTATAATCGCAAACACGTTCGCACTAGAATAACACATAACTAGATGCGTATTGAACTAGTTTTCAGACTTTGTATTTTGCCATTGAATAGTGATCGTATAATAGTGCAAAAACGTCAATGATAACGATTTGAGGGTGATTATATACGTTGTATTGTGTTCAATATCTAATACAGCACACTAACGCGCTAAGTATAATATATCTTAAACAATATACTTGTATTATATATTTTACATATTATCATTGACACAAGTAATTATAATCAACGAACTTGTACAATTGTCCGAGTCACGAGGCCTAAAATTTTTAATGAAGAGTACAAGGTCCGGCATTTATTGACGCCACTGTCAACGGTACTCGATCGACACCCATGAGGAAATGTCACGAATCCAGCCAGCGAATAGAATAAATTACAACTCACATATTATTTTCCAAAACGATATCAATAACATGGCAATAAATAATATTTTATACACGTCATGTGAGTTCTTTGTGACATCGCATAGGTACATATATTATGCATGCGCGATTTCAAGTGGTTTCACCTACTACAACACTACATTTTTCAATTATTTATTTTTTCTTTAATCGCACCACAAAACCAATATTTGAATATATTTAAACTAAGCTATAACATTTTTTTTCTCGTAATTTTGATTACTGTCACAATTTCGATATTTTCAATAAAAAATAATATATTTCTAAACACTAAACTCAGTACTAGCATTCATCTTATACGGACGGTTAATCATCTACAACGATTACACGACTAATAGTTAATACTATAATGAATAATGTATATTATGTACATTCGTGTTTCTGTACAAATAAAATTATACCGAGAGCATTAGGATCGATAATAAATACGCATCAATATTGTAGGTGAACAATATTATGAAATGCTATCACATAAGAACAATATTTTGACTAGGCCAGTCGCGAGTAGCCAATCGTCTGGTGTCGACGAGACGTGTGGCTGCCGACAGTCTCTACTTGGGCTTGACAAACCCTTTGGCGTACGGTTTCTTCGCGTTCGTGTTTAAATAATAAATGCCTCGAGCTCTGGAAAACGTACATACGGACGAACGAATCAACAAAACGACCAGAATCGATTAAAACTTTGATGGTGCTAACGACTTACTTGTGCGTGACGTGTTCGCCCATCAACACGTACTCAGACTCCGGCGGGTTGCATAGACCTAAATTGAAATAGAATCGGTTGGAGCACGGCAAAGCCCAGAACCCGATGTTGGAGTTAATCGATTCGATGAAGTACGGCGTCACCTTGGTGTGATCGCACGACAGCGTTTCTGTAAATCATAATTTGATATGTTTGTTACACACTCGCGTCATGCATACGTAAATAAACTGTCACTCAGGGGAGGCCTCGGTAGATGTTAATCAATGATAAGGGTACACTAACTATGATTAAATGATCTAATAAGTCTTTTCCAGCGACATTTGGTTTGAAGGGGTTTTAAATAGGCGATTGGATGATTAATCGAAAAATGTAAAATGAATAAAATTGATCCATATCGATCGGAAATTAAAATTTATTTTAATAATATAATAATTAAATTATTTTGATGAACTAATTATTAGTGCTGCAAATCGGCACAACCGTTTGAAATTGTAATTCGAATGTGTTTCGAATGCACCGTAATAAACTAACATATGAAGATCATTGGTTCCCACCCGCCTAAATCGATATCATACTGATTGACTGCGTTACAATTATAAAACATAGGACGTTCTTAAAAGTTTCAAGTGAAAAAAATTACTTAAAAATTAACGTCGTTTGTTCTTCAAAATATTGCTTGAGGTTTAAGATTGAAATTTAAAAATAAAATAAATCATACAATGTATAATCAATGAATATACATATAATTGGACACATATTTTGATAATTACGGCGAATCTGTTTTTAACCGTTGCACCAACGTCGCCCCGCCCAGAATGTCCTTAAAAATTCGATTAAAACAGAGGAACGTGACGATGACGACTCACGTATAATGCTGTCGCTGGCACAACCGGGCTGTGAAGTACCGCCGTTCACGTAGAAATCGGCGTGGCCGCTGGGCCCCCACTGGCCTAAGATCCCGGCCGCAGTATGTATGATGTCCACAAAATGTGCGTCCGTCGGGTCGAGATCCCTGGACCGGTTGTTGCTCATATAGAATATAATGGTCGGGTCCAAACCGGTGATCCGACCGATTTTTCCCGACTTGATGAAATTTGAAGTCAGACCCGCAATATGAGCTCCAACGCTATACCTGCGCATTAAAAAAAAAAATAATATATTTGTAATTAATTTCATGCGATGAATAAATCATCACTGAGCGAGATGGGGTACGAATAAAAAGTGTTCGTACTAAACTACGGGTTAGCCCCTTTTCGTTATGACACTTTATTATTACTGGTGCATTCACGTATATTAAGTTGTTTATCTACCGGTGCGTTCGATAAACTGTCACACGTTTTCGCCAGAATCACGCGCAAAACATTATTATTATAATTGAATTTTTTTCATAAATCATAATCAGTGTTTATTCAAATCTGATTTTGACGGAAACCGTATGTGATATGCGAAAAAGAAATGGTTTCAAAATAAGTGGACGGAAAAGTCGATAACCGGTAATGCGTTGTGATAACCGATCATTCGGCAATCCGGTTGCACCCCCCAGTGGTCCGTGAACACAATATTATACCGTTCACTCTAAAAATTCAAAATTCTCTCTTCTACTAAATTTTGTATCGTCTGTCATTATACAAAAATAAGCACTTAAAAGTTTTAAGTTGAAATACATACACAACCACACACACATACTAAACGTTTAATCAATTATTTCTTTTTCAAAATTAATATCCTATACAAACATCCTAATGGTTTGTAACAGCACACATCTGTATATGTAACACACTGAGGTAAAATGCAATATGTACATAGAATTTACATTGTATACTACGTGTACGCGAAAAGAATAATATACCGTTCGAAAATCTTAACAAATAACAGTATAATCGATTCGGATTATAGAAATCTTATTCGTCGATGATTAGCTGGATACACACGTTCAGTTTTCAGTTCAAACTTAACTTAAAGTAAGTGTGTTCAGGTAAGTTGAAGCTCGTGATTGACTACACACGATTCGTATCGTTGATCAGTTAAGTGTGGCGACTTTATGATGTCCAACGATTTGTGCATCGTTTATTTTTATTTTTGTCACTATATTCTGATGTCTAAACTTTCCATAAACATGGGTTTTCTCGGTACAGTTCAATAAATTCGCTCAGAACTTTTTGTGGCCAATTTCGAGAGTCCATACTATTATTATAATTTAAAATACTGAAGAAAATCATTTACAATATTTTTATAATTATTTATAATTATTATATCTGTACTTACTCTTCTGATATAATATCTTAATTATATTATTAATAATAGTTGATATACGATGAATAATATCTGAAAGTTTCAATATATAATAATATATTGAATAATATAATAATATATTCATTTATATATGCACGTGGTCGTTCGCGCCAATTCAAAAAAATCAAGAACAACCAGTTCAGTTCATGCCGCGTCCAGGACTAAACAAGCCTTCAGTTTTTGCATACTTACGTTAGGACTTGTCTAAACGGCCAGGCCTGTTCAGTCAAGTTTTAAACAAAAACTGAAGTGTGTACGCAGCTATTAGGTTAAAATTAATTTTAACGAAAATTCTTTTTTGACTAATTTCTATAAATAATAAAATATATGACTATTCTATTTATTTTATCAATAAAAATGAAGGTTTACAAAAAACAATTATCTATTATCATTATTAATGTTATCACTATCACTATCACCGGACGTTATAATTTATGTAACAATATCGAAAAAGTATAATCGTCGCATACACGTTTTGTTGCTTCGTCATTTTACGTTGACGCCATCCACATTGTGTTATCAAATTGTTACGTATTATTTTTTATTCGTATGTAGACAGATGTAATACAAGACTTGTAAATAAAAAAAAAAAATCATGGCGTTACATGTTTTGACGGTAATAGATTTTATACGATTTCTAAGATTATATACTAAAACTCGATCATAACACATTATCAGTATTAGTGTTCGACCTTGTTTATTAGATTAGATTAGTACTGTATAACATTGGTATTATTATAATCGATGCAATAACCAGTAAATATATGATTCTGAGGAGTTGAATATTTGGAGAAAGATCGGCTTTGAATTTTTCGATCGGTATAAACTGTAAACACATTAGCTTAAAATTAATCCTACACAGAATTCTATAAAAAACCTGTTAACGTATAAGATTAAATATCATAATCAAATAATTTGTTTCCATACAATTATTTGAATGTATATTATGTATACATCACATATATTCAGAATTAAATTCCCATATAAGAATTCTTGCGTTTTAAATTGAATGGGTTAATTTGATCAGGAAGGGGAGAAGGTCGTCAGGAGGGAGAAAGGCAAGGAGACAATTTTACTACCAGGCCCCAGTCTAGGAAAATGTAAAGGGGATCGCCTTAAAATCCAGTTTGATTACTCGAATACAAATAGAATTACTCGGCGTTACCTATTAGAGAATATTGATATTAATATATTATTTCTAAACAATTTTTCTACATGAAATATTAATAAATTTAATTTATTTTTAAACACTACTATACAAACTATATTTTCAGTTATTTTAATTTCAGAATTGTTATAATTGCAATTTATTATAGCTAATGCCGAAGTGTGAAGAATGAAATAATTTTGTCCAAATTTAGGTAGAAATTCATTATCATAAGTAGGCTTAGGGACTTATAGCTCTAAAAAATACACAAATATGCATGCAAATATGCTTCTAAAATCATTAAAATATGCATTATAATATGCATAT